CCACTCTCTCTGCTCTCCATCAGTGCTTATCCAAATCCCATCGTCTCCTCCAAACCCAGTGCGGCATCAAAACCTCCTCGCACATCCGTAAGAGTTCATGGCTCTCAAATAATTCCTGGATGATTCACGACGCCACATCAGTGCTGACGTTTTTTAAGAATTCATATATCGTTCAACAAGTCGCGCATCCTGGACACTTCATGATTTCTTTCAGCAATGCTGTCCTGACTCATAGCCAGACTGCATCAACCATCTGAACGGAACCAGCAAAGTCGCACCTCGCGGTAGATCCTCGGGACTGCTAAGACTCTTTCGCCGCTAGTCCTCTCTTAGGCGTCACGAACACTGACTAAGCATCACCGAATAAACCCTCGCTTCGCGAATTCCTTCCTCTGCCACCACTCTCTACGTCCTCATCGCAAACAGACCCCCGATATTTATGATGATAGCGCACTAGTATTCCCTTCGCGTTACCAGGATATCGCCGGGCCATGTACCATGGATTTGCCAAGACTATAGCAGTGGCGCATAGTCAGCCGAAGAGCTTCCCTAAAGAGTTTACCCAGATATCACCACGGCTACATAGCGTGACAGAGATGCCCATACTACTATAGAAAGGACTATCACGGGAATTATATAGATCAATAAGGATATAACATCGCGCATGAAGACAATTATTCCGAGTATGCTTCATTACAAATGTACTTGAAAAGTGAAGCTCGCAGGATAACCGGAAACTTAATATTGCTCCTATTAAGCAATATATCTTAGGTAATCCAGTTATTGAAAAGTAAAAGCTACCAGAATACGTCGCATTATTGTATTAGAAGCCGAAGTAGTTCAAGTTCCAGTGTTAAAAGTGGGTGTACTCTATGTTTTACTATGCAGTAAATCCATACTTCAGGCGGAGGCAGTCCGAGTTGTAGTACTACAAATCAGACTGCTCCGGCCTGAAGTACAAATTTAGCACGTACATCATGCTGCAGTATGTCAAGGTGTAATACTTCAGACGACATTCCTTTGATGTATAGTGTTGCAAGCTGGCGTGTTCGCAGCTGTAGTACTACAAATTACTATGTTCCAGCCACCAGAGAGGTCGAACATGGATTAGGCATAGCCCGGTAGTCAAAACTGGCCTCTTTCCAGGTTGTTGGGATAAGGTGACAATGAGCAACTTTGGTTATGTGATCCAGCTGGGCTTAGAAATACTTGCACACTATTATTGCAAGTTATTTACAGCCCCAAGTGAAATGGTACACTAGAAAAGGATTTATTTACTTCAGATTATCAGCGCACGGATGTTCACTTTAAGTCTCTCATTTTCTCCTAAGCTAGCCTATAACTCGATAGTGCCTCATATAAATTTCAGCTCTGAGAAATTAATCTACCTTATTTCAAACTCCTCAACAGCGAGCAAGTCTTCAGCGGCCATTTCAATCGCTTCACCGTGCATATGCTGGTGCAGATAGCATTCGCCAACAAATTGATAGTATGATCCCTTTGTCCGAAGCACGCATGGAGCATTGCTGCCATACAACAAAACGACATGATCACCAGTCTGCGCAGCTCGAGGGCCTATGCCGAATTCTCCGTTCTGCGTGCAGAAAAACCGCTTGTTTCTGCATCCGCGGATGGCAGCGGCATAGAAATTCTGTGAATCGCCTGCTAGTCCTTGTTCCACCAGGACTTGTGACAAATGTTGCGTAGTACCAAGCATATCTAGAGACGGTAAGATGTCCACCAAATAGGCGAGAAAATCGAGGCGGAACTGAGACAAGTCGATAGGAGGGCAATTCGATTGAAAATCGAGGCCAACAGTAAGTGTCATAGCAATGCAAAGCAAAAGGGGGTCGTTTGAATGTGTTATCTTAGGAAGATATTTTAATAACAATTCCTGAAAAGGTTGCTTGAGGGGATCCATTTCGGATTCGCCATATGCTGATTTCGCCGCCCCCTTCCCTATCACCACACCGCACCATGACGATGTGGAAATACGAACCCCTTCTGATGTGAGGATTTTTGACCTGTAATTTATGCGAGGTAAGGATGACTGCGCTCTCCCCGAGGCGTAATTGTGCAGAATCTGAGTTGTGCGAGAACGATCCCACCTCGGAACCCAAGATGGCCATTCTTCGTCGATTGCACAATCATGCTCAAGGCTAGATAGAAGGCCGAGGTTCTGGCAAGACGTAAAGATTCTCACTGTAGCTTCTTCAAAGACTTCAGCGACGGACTTGCTGTAATCTGGTTGGATCAACGGCCGCAGTCCACAGAGAGGTGGAAAAGATAGCAATGCGTATACTTTGTCTCGCTGGTCGGAGCAGTTGAAATGGCGGAAAACATCGAATACATTAGATGTTGAGGAATCGTGGCCGGCAGAGTCAATCTGTAACACCGAAATGGAACCCCATGTATTCTTAAGATATGCACTTGAGGGGTCTTCGGCCATTTCCCAGAGCAATTTCGCAACCAGGACGACATCCTTCCATCGTATCTCATATTCACCGCAGAAGACCGTACAAGCGTGATTATATACCTCCTGAATGACCCAAAGTCTAGTGAACCAAGTTGCAGAGAAGAAAATACGAAGTGCCGACCAACATTCTGAAGTAGGATCTGGAAGCTCAGTTCCGTCTATGAAGTTTACAATGTCAAAAAAAGATTCAGTCTCGTCAAGGTCTGAGGACGTACCAGCGCTTGTAGGGCTCGCATGGCTGACCATCTCGTCTATCAGTTTAAAGGCCGGCTGCATCTGTGCGGTTGTGCATCCCAGCCAGACGCATACTCTGGTCGCATTTCCGTATATTGTCTTCATTAGTTTGACTTGTGATCCCTTCTCCACGTCATCATTCTGGTTGATGCATATCGCATCAGCCCAAACAATTCGCGATCTGTCTTTGAGCTTGAGTCGGAGCAGCGCATCTCTGAGATTTCGTGTGATCATAATGATCTTGCCGTCACAGAGCACATTGACCTTGTTTGCAGGATCGCCCCACGCATATGATATTGTCTCGTATTTTGGGGTATTCTCTAATTTGGTTTGACGCAAAGTGCAGTCAATATTGTCGCTTGCGTGCCCAGGGTAAAGTTCGAGAAGTCTTATGAACTTTTCAGATGGCAGCGGGCTGTATTGGTAGAAACTGCCACCATATGAATCGGTCATGTTGAAGAAGTACGCGTACAACTTGAAGAGAGATTGCCGGCAAGAGAGACGTATTTAATTCCCTCAATTGCGTTCAAAAGGGGAGTTTAGGAGTAGCCGCCTGTTGTCCCAAATCTTGGACTAGCAATGTCTTTTCTGAACAAAGGTATTTTGTTTTGCTGGGACGACGGACAAAAAATAGGCTACAGTCACGAAGGGAAAATGCATTGATAGTTCTAGAATCATTTTACCCCGGTTTCTCAGGCCATGGCTCTTAGCCTAAGGCAAAAAAAACCAGCCAAACCCAATGCGTAAATCACATGCGGTCCTCGACCAGGTGGCCTTGAGTGTAGAGAATTTCATTATTTCAACACGTCGTCTTCAACATCGTTTTCCTTGACAGCCATTTGCATTATATGAACGCGAATACTTATCATTCAATCCCCATTTCTGACTCTATTATCGATCAAGCCTTGAGCTATGTCGACCTGATCTCACCTCTCCAGAGCGCGCGGTTGTATCCACCTGCTTCATCAACCCTCCCAACCCCATCGAACCACGACATCAAATGCGAGTCTTGATTACGGAGGTGCCAGGGCTAAAGAAGTGCTCACCGCCCTCGCTTAGTTGTATGAGGCAGAGCGATTGAGTGGTGGTAATTAAAGGCGGTGAGCACTTATTTAGCCCTGGCACCTCCGTAGGGTTCTCCACGAGAGCCCATTGAGGGCGTGCGGGAGCCGAAACGGGATCCCTACCTCCGTACACTCCTACGTGTTGGGGCTCTCCTAGGAGCTATATCTGGTATCGTTCTAGTAATTAGGGGGTCCAGGTCCGCAAGCTGCGGAACGAAAGCCCTCGCAAAATAGAGGCCAATACCTCAACTTTCAGCGGTATTTGGTTCGAGGTCGATCAAGATATGAGCAGACCCGATCGATCCTGACGAACGAATACTCCCGGCAGATCCTCGGGCTCGCCGAGACTTATTCCCTGCTAATCCTCTCTACTCCGTAAAGCGTGATGAAGCAGTACTGAATAACCTCATATTGCAGGCGCTTGCCGGTCCAAAACTTTCGTGACTTTCGTCTAAAATGCGTACCCTCCTCCAGTCCTCTAGATTAGAGTATTTTGCTAGTAAATCCACTGCCGATATCTTTCGTCGTTTCCAGAGGTTGGGGAAGACGTAGGGCCTGCAGGGTTTGCAGTTGTGATATCCTCGTGCTCCCATTGTCTCCCAATCAAACGATCAGAACACCCCTCAAGCTCTACTTGCTCTGCAAGTTATGACCAGATCAGTGTATGACCCTCCCAGCCAGTGTTCTCAATCATATCTTCCATCTCGTCCTGGTGCTCGGAAATCTTCGATAGTGGGCATCGATACGCTTCGCGGAGTGGGTGATTTTGGGAGGTGCGCGAGGATTCAGTGCCAGGGAGCATCTTCAATGAGACGATATACACCGCGGCGCTTGACATCTAAGCCTCAAAGAATAAGTCTGTGCCTTATGATTAGCTTTTGAACTATTACAAAGGGATATAGGGAATAGATGTACCCAGCACCTTTAGCTTTTATCATTCACGGATGCGGATGAATATTCCGCCACATTCTCTGCTCAAGTCTTGCTTTATTGTTTGATCTTGTGATAATTAATCCTACTTCCACGATACATACCTCCATAAAATCACGACGGCCGAGTCTTCTCTTTTGATTACAAACGCTTGTGGTACAATACTACATGGTCTCAAAAGTACAGCCTAAGTATTAAGGCTCAAATGATGCGTCTCCGATTTCGGACCAAAGGTGAGTCATTTTGGATTGTCAATGTTATTAGATTTAATAAGCAGAATTTCGTCAAGCTTATCAGGGAGGATGGCCGAGTGGTTATGGCGTGTGGTACGTTGTAGTTTTCTGGTATACGTAATAATACTAATTGACATTCTAGGCTCAAGATATTGTTATAATATCTTTATCAAGGCAACTTGATTGGGTTTTCTCATGTAGGTTTTACCTTATCTCACAATATATATGGCGATATTAATAAAAGTGATAGTACGAAAGTAGCAGGGGTTCGAATCCCCTTCCTCTCAATGACCAACTTTTTTTTGGTTTAATTTATTTTTCGCACAAAGGATATTTTCGGGGATATTGTCGGCTCGATTCCGAGTAACGGCAGTGTTTTTTTTTTCCATGCTGCGATTGCATGGCGTGCGAGCGTTTTTATGGCAATCTTTGCAAAAGCAAGTCCATGCAACCACCGATGGCACCATCGAGATATGTCTTTAATTGGGGTGCGTCAGGGAATAGAAATGGTCAGCTAACATGGCCAACAAAGTCTTGGGTCCGAGACTCATCCCCGCTACTCCCTTTTGAGCAGTAGCGCCCTCGCGAACTCCTCTGCAACTGCATTCCCATCACAACCCGACCCCGATATCCATGATAATAGTTGTTCACTTCCCGCTACCAACTTGGTATTCACCGCCAATGACTCTTCAAGCGACCTGTGTGACGCTGAAGGTCGGGATTGCTGGTTTATCAGATATCACGTAATCCCCAAAGCCCTGCTGCTGCAACCTAGTTGTTCAGAACTTCAGACTTGAGTACAGCGTGATCCCTCGCTATATTGTCCCTAAAGTTGCGGCTGCCCGTTGCCTAGTTGGAGCATGTCGACCTTAGTTCCCTCCTCTATGGAAGCCACCACGATGTGATGTGTGTCTTGATTTGGAATGGGGGAGAATGCCCGAGAATTCTGGAGATGGACATTCGGAACGTCGTCTTAAAGTCCCCTACCAGAGCCTCCGCAACTCGAAAGATTGCCAAGTTTGTGCTGCTATCACGAACGCTATTTCCGAATTCAAACCCCTGGAAACCACCATACAGATTTCCACCAATTCTTGCAGTCAAGCCAGATCAAAATATTCTTGCGAGATGGGTGGACAGCAAAAGTTCTGATATGGAGTGAAGAACGCTTTTTGGCCGAACTATGTTTCGAGTTTGAAATGTATACCTCGAACAGTCAGTCATCACGTTCTTTACTTAAAAGTGTAGCTTCCGGCTAAGCCAAGTAAAGTCACCTTCTAAAGTACCAGCATTCCGCGTTGCAAATGAGATTCCTCCAACTCTTAACCTCTCCAGTTGTACTCACTTCCTTATACCCCAAATTCGCAATTGTAATGCAACCCATACTCGTTGCCAATCGAGATCATCACAAATGCCTTCTCGACTACTCTACGTTGGTTCCGAAACCGGGCCTACATACCTCAGACTTGACCTCCTACCGTCCTTGCAGCCTTATGTTGCCCTCAGTCACTGCAGGGGTGACCAGTCAGCAACGTTCACCACCACGAAGGCGACAATCAAAGACCTCCTTCTCGAGATACCTTGACAAAATTGCCAAAAATTTCCAGGATGCTATGTCCATTACTGGTTCTCTCAACATTGGCTACCTCTGGATTGATTTGCTGCGCATCATTCAAGATGATCCATTGGATTCCTCGATTGGAAGACGGAGTCTGTGAAGATGGTTGAAATATACTCTGGAGCATACTTGACTATTGCAGCGACTGGCGCCTCATCGGCGACCTCTGGCTGTCTTTTTACTCGGTGGCACGAAACAGATTTCGGCGTCAAAGCTTCGCATGCTGTATCGCAGCTTCAAAGTGACAAGTTTTCTGCAATTCATGGCATCAAAATCCGATATTCTTCTAAAGCTCATACACAATTCCCGGGGGCGGGGGGCGAGGGTTGAAACCACCCGCGAGCGGCGCTCCACTCTAGAATCAAGCATGGGCTTTTCAAGAGCGGGTATTATCAGATCGATTGATTCATTTTCACGGGGAGGGGATGGTATGGGAGTGCCGGGAAAGCAGGGAGTGCGAATGCGGGTATTTACCTGGGACCTTACGATGGACCATCTAGGCATAATTTCAACGGTGTTGGCTGAGGATGGCATTGCAAGGACGAACCTTGACCCTGAAACTCATATGGAGACCTTCGAAAAGTGGCTCGAGGTTGTCCGCGAATTCACGAAATTGGAGATCCATAATCCATTATTAGCTCGATAGGCTGCCGGCAATTTCTAGCATAGAAAGGGGTGGTTTGACGATGCAGGAACGACAACGGTTAATATTCTATGACTACCTAGTTGAGAATCCCCAGTAATAGTCTCCTTTCTACCTCTTGGGCTCCCGGAGATCGAGTGGAGTCGATAAGTCAGCTCCCGGCAGATCCTCGGGCCAAACCAATCCCAACTAAATGTTTGAGGAATCCTCAGCACCCCTCGTTGCGGAAACATGCAAGTCAGCTTTCTCTCCTCCACACCCCGTTGCTAATTAGGCAAGCCGGCGGCGGGAAGGTAGTGAACCCCTTTTCAAGTTCCGCGCTACATATCTCTCTGCCCTATCGGGGTGGAGCCTGTGCACAGTTCCAGGGCTGCGAGAGTCGAACGTTGAATGTTCCTCCATGACTCGACGCATTATTCCACCAATGCGGGGTGTGGGGTGCGGGGAAGTGCGGATTGAGGAGTGGGATGTGAGCTGTGCTTGTATGATACTACTCTGTTAAGATCTCGAAGCGTTATTACCCGGTGTAAACCTGAAGCGTGTGCGGATGCATTCTACCGGATGATATCTTTTCGAAGTGCAAAAGCTTCGTCTGGTTTCCATTAACAGCTCTTGGCTCTTCTTCTTCTGTCATCTGGTCCAGACTTGTACAGTTACTTAAGCAAGTCTTCGAATACTTAAGTATCACTGTCCGCGGATGTTCGTCGAGCGTAAACCAAAGCTTGCTCACTTTTCATCATGGCTGCTATACCAATAGATGTGGAGAAGCATTCAGAGATCAACCATGCCGAAAGCTACAGTGACATTGCTCAAAATCAGAAGATTGTGAATGAGGCCGGTCGACTGGCCACAATTGCTGAGCATGACTTGACCTTCAGGCAAGCTGTCAAAGCATACCCTCGCGCCATCTTCTGGTCCGTCCTAGTCAGCACATGTATTATCATGGAAGGATACGACGTCGTACTCGTCGGCTCCATGTTCGGCCAGCCTGCCTTCCAGGAGAAATATGGCAATTACTATTCCGACCTCAAAGGATACCAGCTTTCCGGCCCTTGGCAAGTTGCCTTAGGTAACTCAGGCAATATTGGTGCAATCCTTGGTTGTTTCGCAAACGGCTACTTCGTCCAACTTTTCGGCTATAGACGGGTCCTCCTGGTGTCGCTGTTCTTGGTCGCTGCTTTCGTGTTTATTGTATTCTTCGCGCAGAATCTCCCGACGCTCCTCACCGGAGAGATCCTCCTTGGCCTTCCTTGGGGCGTGTTTGCGAGCATGGCGCCTGCTTATGCGTCCGAGGTCTGCCCGGTAGCCCTTCGCGGTTACCTTACAGTATACGTCAACCTTTGCTGGGCATTCGGACAGCTCATCGGAGCCGGCGTCAACGAAGGCTTCCAACCCTTGACCACGGAATGGGCATATCGCGTTCCCTTTGCAATCCAGTGGGTCTGGCCCATCCCACTTGCAGCCATTCTCTTCTTTGCGCCGGAGTCACCATGGTGGCTCGTCCATAAGGAGCGTTTTGAAGAGGCAGAACGGACGGTCAAGAGGCTCGGCTCGAAATCCATGACAGGCGATGATGCAAAGAAATCTGTTGCAATGATGTGTTGGCTTGGATGGGACGTCGAACTATATTCGTCTGGGGCCTCTTCTTGCTGTTCGCTCTGATGTTACTCGTCGGCGTTCTTTCTGCTGCATTGGATTCCGTGGCCAGCAGCTACGCGCAAGCAGGGCTGATACTCGCTTGGCTGTTTCTGTATTACACCAGCCTAGGCCCGGTGACTTACGCTATCATAAGTGAGACATCTGCTATCAAGCTCCGCAATAAGAGTGTCTGTCTAGCACGTATCGGATATGTTGGCTTGGATGGGACGTCGAACTATATTCGTCTGGGGCCTCTTCTTGCTGTTCGCTCTGATGTTACTCGTCGGCGTTCTTTCTGCTGCATTGGATTCCGTGGCCAGCAGCTACGCGCAAGCAGGGCTGATACTCGCTTGGCTGTTTCTGTATTACACCAGCCTAGGCCCGGTGACTTACGCTATCATAAGTGAGACATCTGCTATCAAGCTCCGCAATAAGAGTGTCTGTCTAGCACGTATCGGATACTACCTTGTTGGCATTTTAGTGGGGACAATTCAACCCTACATGCTAAACCCGACCGAGGGCAACTGGAAGGGCAAGACATGCCTCTTCTGGGCGGGAACGTCCTTCCTTGCTTGGCTTTGGTCCTATTTCCGCGTACCGGAGACGGCAGGCCGAACGTACGAGGAACTTGATATTCTGTTCGCGAACAAAGTCAGCGCGAGGAAGTTCGCGAAGACTACTGTTGACGCATATGCTGATACAGGAGAATCGAGAATCAAGCAGGAATGATTTGCGTTGGACGGGACGGACAGCCCATAGATCCTAACATACATAAGATGATTATCGTGTAGCTTCCTTCTAGTATGCAGGATATGCGCGACTCAAAACGGTGGAATAAAGATGAGGCTGATGCCTTCCAGCGTGCATGGTCGACGCCATGTGAGGGTGTTCGCCTGGATTGCTTAGACAACAGGATGTGATCTGTGCACAAAGTACTTAGTCCTCTGAGCTCTCCAGCTCTTCTTATCTCCTTGAAAACAATCTTTTGTCTTCAGGTTTAGACCTTGATCGGGCCGTACTGTAACACGACAATCAGTATTCACCCAACTTTGCGACGTTGAGGAAGCGAGAATCATCAGCAGTTCTAGAAAAATTATCACTGACCTGCGAATACGCGACGCCATCTTCAGGTGCTCTAGAGCACAGAAAATGTAGTACTGATCATGTGATACAGAACGGGCACCAAGCTGCGGAACTTCCACACCTTCGTACCCCTTCCATGCATTCGATGGCTAAAGCAGCCTGCGCCTCAAAATGTTCTCTCGATTCCATTTGATTCTCTTCATACAAGGCTACACACTGTTTGCGGCAAACGACAATGATCGCAGCTACTAGGTCAAGCATCATAGGTAAAGCCAAACCCCTAAACAGAAAGCTACTGATTCCTATCG